GCCAGACCAGGGAAGGACGGCAGTTTCCTTCCTTAAAGGACATCAGTGAACCACTAATGGCAAAGATTCACTAATATTCTCTTCAAGTAAGGGAAAGGGCTGCAGCAACTATATAAATGTCTGTTCACAGATTGTGTATCTGGCCTCCATCATCTTCAGCTTACTTATCCAGTGCCACTAGGATCATAACCTCTGGCTAAGCAATGTGTCCCATTTATATTTTTTTACCGTTTTCAGTCATCCAGTAAGTCTTGGATTACAATGTCTTTCAGATTTAGTTTCCTTCCTCAGTTCCCCTTTTCAATTTGGGTATATCCCAAAAAACGAGCTTTGAATCAACAGATTTCACATTGTATATAATCCGACAGATTTATCAAAAATCTATCAAATTGCAGCCATATCTCTTAAGCATTTAATACACGTATTTTAATTTCATCCTAAAGCTATACCTTGTTTTCTTTTTCTTGGAGACATTTCCCATTTCCACATTTCTATGCTATTCTTCCACTAGTTCATAATTTAGAATTAAAGAACATTAAAGGGTAATTATACTCTATTTACACTTCCTTTTGTCCTTTTCCACAATCAACATTAGTTGTTACTTGCATACTTTTTCTCCACTTAGTTTCTATCCTTTACCTTTAGAGAGCCACTTTTGACTATAATGTTCTATTCCAGAAGGCAGGCCAGTAAAGGATAGCTGAAGCCAATCTTTACACATTTTAAGAAGCTTTTATTTTTGAGATACATATTTCAAACATGTACTCCCTAACCTAGCCATAAAGTTTCAGTCTGTTTTTGTTTACAACATTGTGAGGGTGCACAGAGCAAAAGACAAAAGCAGTGATAATGGTGTTTAAGGAGAAAAAGATATAGGGCAGCTCAGTGGCTGGCACTGCTGCCTCACAGCGCCAGTGACCCAGGTTCAAATCTACCCTTGGGTGACTGTCTATGTGGAATTTGCATATTCTCCCTGTGTCTGTATGGGCTTCCTCCGGGCAGTCCAGTTTCCTCCCACAGTCCAAAGGTGCGCAGGTTAGGTAGGTTGGCCATGGGACATGCAGGGTTACAGGGATAGGGTAGGGGGATGGGTCTGGGTGGGATGCTCTTCAGAGGGACAGTATTGGCCGAATGGCCTGCTTCCACACTGCAGGGATTCTATGATATGTAAACTAAGTGTATATTTTAGCTTGAGAAAGGAGAAAAATCAATCATTCTGCTCAGCAGTATTAAACAAAAATTTCTAACTCCTTTGAGTTCTGAAGAATCATATTAGACTTGAAATGTTAAACCTCTTTTTCTCTCCAAAAATACTGCCAAATCAGCAGAGCTTCTCCAGCACATTCAGTTTTATTTCAGCTTTCCAGCATTCACAGTTTTTTGCTTTTTATCGTGGTTGAGTTTTCTTTTCATTTTGTAGTTTTGTTAGCTTGAACTGTATACAATTGCCAGTTAGAAATATTGCTTAAAAATTGACATAACTTCAGAAATAGTATTAAAAAAGGATAAACAGGGTGAAGTATAATTTGCACAAAATGCTACATACAGTTAACACCCTAAACGCATTTATGGAGACTAGAAGGTAAGAATAACAAAGTATATTCAGGGTGAAGCAGCAATTCACATGTACTTCATTCAATCTAGTCTATTTTATTTGCTGCTCACTTTATGGCTTCTTCTACATTCTGCAGCCTGCCCTGTGGCAGACTGGGCAACAGCTTTGTGGAACACCTATACTTTTTTCTGAAAAATGAACTTGGGCTTCTGGTTGCCTGCTACTTGATCACACCATTGTATTCCCTGACCCACGTTTCTGTCTCAGACCTGCTGCAGCACTTAAGCGAGGTTCAGCACAGGCTGAAAGAATAGCATCTCATATTCCGCTTGGGGATCCTACAGCCTTCATGACTCGATAGCAAATTCAATAATTTCTCTCTCTTTAGGCTCCATTTCCGTCTATCTGTTCACCCCTTTTTCTTCTTCCTCCTCCCCCTCCCCACACCATCTTCAGCACATATACCACCTTTTCCTAGCTACTATCAGTTCTGAATAACCCTCTGAGTAAGGGTCACTGGACTCAGAATATTAACTCAGCTTTCGCTCCGCAGATGCTGCCAGACCTGTTGAGTTTCTCCAGCGATCTATGCTTTTGTTTCACGATTTCCAGCTGGATGGGTATTTGAATAGGAAGGATTTAGAGGGATATGAGCGAAATGTGGGCAAATGGAAGTAAGTCAGTTTGGGATATCTGGTCAGCGCCAATGAGTTGGCCCAAAGGGTCTGTTTCAATGCTGTATGATACTATGACTCTACGAAAGTATTATTATGAAGTATGTGATCCTTTGTAAGATCCTTCCGTCCACAATTCAATAACTTTCAGGTGACAAGGAAGGTGTTAATAAAAACTAGAGTGGAATATTTAAGCTTAGTCTGACAAAGCATACATAAGGAAATTCTATTTAAAGAACAGAAATAATTGAAAGGATGGATAAGAATGATACATAAACAAGATGACTAAAGAAAAGCCTAAAATTAATTGCATGATTTTGTTAGAAAGCTTCAGTATTTTGTTTCAATATACTGCAGCAAGCTTTGAGTTGCTTGCTTATCTTGCTCATAGGCTAGGACTCAATGAGTGAGCATGCAGTATGCTGCAATTCCTCACAGCACTCACCCCAGTTGTTGACACGATGAGAAAGTAAGTGAAACCTAACTATGCATTCTTCATACTGCAGCACTTTTGCCAGAAATTCTTCTAACAATCTGTCAAGTGCTATATTGAACAGCATCTGACAATCAAACACTCAACTGTTCCAAAGACAACTCAACTTCTCATTGTTGAATAATTTCCACACCATGTAGAACTTACAAAAACAAAAAAAAAGACAAAATATAGAGCAACATTTTGCATTCCAAAGAAATTGGCATACTTTACAAGACTTTGCATGTATATGGAAACATTCAGACCATACAAGATATTTCCAAATAGCGATACTAACCATAGCGATGTAAGGTTTCATCTCCCACGCCTGTGTATTTGTGTTATCTATTATGATAGGAGAGTAACCATTTTCCATGGCTTCCCTGGCTGAAACAAAATATGATCAGAATTAAATTTATTCAACAAAATTTACAATTAATGGTGGCAACCACAGTGCATATGACAAGACTCAAGTTGCATGACAAGTTTAAATAAAATTTGTTTATCTTCTCACAATTACTTTTGAATATATGCAATATTTTCATTAAACGTGTAAGTATTTCAAAATTCAAATTAAAAATAATTCACAAATCTTAGTATAAATTAAAAGTTTCAGTAAAAAGGATTTATTTTACAATTATCTCTTTGCATTCTTGATTTTTCCACTTCTGTGGAATGCTTGATATTCATATGCAGTAAACTAAATATGCCAGATAGAAACAGAATTCAGCTTGGCACAAACTCCTTTACAGCTAGTTATGCATTACAATACTTTTTGATCCAATAATGTGGAAATAAGTATTTTCCTAGTTTTCACATTCAGTGTGATGTTCATATCCTCTCAAGGTTATGACCAGATGTACATTGATCTTTACCCTAACATTACTAAATCCCAATCACAGAAGAATGTTATCAGTGCCAATGTCTCTCTTATTGCATAATTTTTGCTCAATATCTCTTTTATCATCTGTGGAAGCAACACACTCCTCATTTAAATACAACTCCAAAACTATATCACCCTGGTGACCAAATTCTTATGTATGAATATGACCAAATTCTTATGTATGAATCTTGACAGGTATTGATGATTGGCAGTTAAACAGGTAAGCTCAAAGAAAGAACCCTATCCACAGCTGCAGGATAGAGTATCAGGAGGGATATGACTGCATTGGAGAGGGTGCAGGGGAGATTTACCAGGCTGGAGAGCTTTAGCTATAAAGAGAGACTGGATAGAGACTGAGGGGGGCATGACTGAGATGTATAAAATTATGAGATGCATAAAATTATGAGATGCATAGACAGGAAGGAACTTTTCCTTTTGGTGAAGGGGTCAACGACCAAGCAGCATAGCTTTGAGGCAAGGGGCACAAGGTTTAAAGGGGATGTGAGGAAAGATTTCCTTCCCCACTGAGGGTGTGAGAATCTGGAGCTCACTGGCTTCAAGAGTGGTGGTGGTGGTAAGAACTCTCATAATATTTAAGAAGTATTACATGTACACTTGTGATGTCAAGACATATAAGGCTATAGGCCAAGTCCTGGAAAATAGGATTAGAATGGTTAGGTGATTGCTTTTGACCAGTGTAGACTCAATGGACTGAAGGGCTTTTCTCTGTGCTGTAGACCTCTTATGATTCTATGAATGAGTTAATGTGGTCCATTTCGGGACTAACAATTTAGGAATCAGGCAAGAGGTCTTATTTGGAGAATACTGGGAGTTAGGAACTAAAGACCAGGACTGTAAGGCTTCTAATCTCATAAACTGACAGAGGAATAAACATAATAGTGAGGTTAATACAGAAAAGGAATTTAAATAAGTACCTATCAGTGGAGGGGTTTGGTATAGAAGATTATGTTAATAACAGTTTTAGATCAAACAAAAGGAAAGAGAGTACAGCAACAGCCATAAATTTTGTTTTAGGCACTGGAAATAAAGAGAAAACTAAAGGAAGAAATTAAACTAGCAGAGACAAATTAGAAATAATTTGCATGGAAAACAGAGAAAGAGATCAGGTTAGCATGTGTAGCCCAAAACACTTGTTATATAAACTCACTGAATATATCAGAAACAAACTGAACAAGTTACTGCCACAAATTCAACTTGGACAGTGTGACATGGTAGCCTTTGTGGAGAAATGGTTCAAAGTGGGTAGAACTGAAATAAAGCTATACCGGATAACCAAGTCTGCAGGAAAGATAGGAAAAGTGGTATGAGGAAGAGTAGCCTCAATGAATAAGGATGAAAACATTTCAGTGATAAGCAATGATATAACAAGTGATAAGGAGGCAGTGGACTCTGGGTAGAATTAAAAAAATTAGAAAGGATTAAGACCGTGGTATAGCAGTTCCCAAAATGTGAGTTGCAAATCAAATCGCAGTTGCAGATGCAGAAAATGGGTCCACAACGCTTCCTATTGTGAGATGGCTCCCTTTGCTGGAAACCAGGCAACTTCCAGACATCCACGCCTCAGGATTACTTTTCGTTTGGCTGAATAGCTGGGTTGTGATGCAGAGTGATGCCAACATCACGGGTTCAATTCCCATAATGGCTGAGGTTACTATGAAGGTCCTTCCTTCTTGAACTCTCTCCTCACTTGAGGTGTGGTGACCCTCAGGTTGAACCAGCACCAGTCATCTCTCTCTCTCTCTCTCCAATGAGAGAGTAGCCCTCAAAATATAGTGGCTTTACTTACTTCACTGCAAGGACAATGGACGATGACAGGGCATTTTTTAAAGTTCTTGTGTTTCGGTACCATTCCTTCATGTTGGAAATCAAGTACATTTATTCGACCATTTAATGTAAATGAGAAAAATAATTTAGCCTGATATCTGTTGTCAAGAAATTGCTTAAGCTTAAAAGTGAGGATAGGGGTGATCAATCATCTTGAAATTTTTCAGCTGATAAGGAGAGCTTGTATAGATTTGCAAAGTGCCTGAAGAAAATGACTGAATTATTTGAACTCATGATAAAGGGGAGGACAGGGAATGGCTATGAATGTTATTGAAATTGACTTCCAGAAGACGACTGATGTAGTTCATCACAGGTAACCAATAACTAAAGCTGAAGATCATGAAATTTAGACAAATTATTGACCTGATTATGAAACTGGCTGAGCAAAAGGAAACAGAGATAACAGAGTCTAACTGGCAAAATGCAATTAGTGGTGTCCCTCAACAATCTGTGTCAGTTGACAACTATTCGTTGTATCAATTAATGACTTTGGAGGAAGACCAAAAACCACATATCTAAATTTGCTACTGACACAAGGACAGCAGTACTGTAAGCAGTATGGATGAAACCATAAAATTGAGGAAAAGTTATTAGATTTAGCAAATGGGAGAAATCATGGTAAATAAACTTAATTAAAGAATTACAGAAAATTATTTTAAAAAGTGATAGTTCAATTGTGCAAAGCCTTGGTTAGACCACATTGGTGTCATAAGCAGTACTGCACATCACCTAAGGAAGAATATAATTGTCTTCAAGACAGTGCAGCGTAGATTTACTAGAACAATAAGAAGCTTGAGGAGAGATTAAACAAAGTAGCCCTGAATGTCCAAAAAGTTTGAAGATTATAGTGGGCTTTTTAAAAGATATTCCCAAATGTAACCTTTTTGAATAAGAATTGTACAATGAGTATAACATTGAAGTAGTTTTTGAATGTATGGCAAGTTGAAATGGTTCACCTGTGCAGAAAGCAATGTACTAAATTCACTTGTACAGTAACGAAGAATACATTGTTTAAAATTTCTCACCTCTCTTTTGATTCCATTCATGAGCCTTTCCAATCAAACTTGAATCAAACTGGTAGCGTCCATTTCGACAAAAATATTCGTCTGTGCTGAAAATCATTCCATTAGGCTCCTGTTGAACAAGCATTCTGTCCAAGTGCAATGAAAACTCAATAATTATGTGCAAGATCTCAAATTTTCAAACTATGCAACAAGTTAGTCAAAAAAAACAGTCAATCTCAATTTGGAAATATATTTCGCTTAGCACAGGTGGGCAAATGATGTCAATCAAGCATTAAACAAAAAGACATCTGATAAGATTTCATTTGGTGACAGACACAGGACTGCTCAACATTGAGACTGGTGGTTCTAGGGTGACTGTGATTCTGCAAAGTGGTTCTTCCATAAGGGTGCAGCAATTATCAAGGGCGATTTTAACCTACATATAGACTGGAAAATCAGATACAAAAATGTTGTCAAAATGAGAAATTCATTCAATGTTTTTGGAATAATTTCTTAGATTAACATGTTATGGCATCAACCAGAGAGGAGGCTACAGTAGACTTTATTTTGACTAACAAGATAGGATTAATTACCCACATAAGTAAAAGTGTCCCTGGGTAGCAGTGACCATAACATGACTGAACTTCATACACAGTGCAAGGGAAAATGATGTGGGTCCAAGACTACGATTTTGAATTTAAACAAGGACATTTATGAGGACGTGAAAGCAGAGCAAGTGAAAGAGAACTGGCAATTTAGGTCAAGGGATCGATCAAATGAGAGGCAGTGGCAAACACCTAAGGGGATATTCCCAGAAAGCACAGAATAGAGACAGTCTAACAAATTAGAAAAACTCTAAAGGGAAGGCTGTGCCGCCTGTGGTTAAATAAAAAAGTCAAGATAACATCAAACTCAAAGAAAAGACACAATTTTGCAAAGATAGGTTGCTGGTCAAAAGACTGGACACAATATAAAAAGTGGGAAAGAATTACTACAAGCTATCAGAGGGAAAAGTTAGAGTACAAAGGAAAGTAGTCAAAAACATAAGAACAATGGCAAATGTGTCTTCACATATTAAAAAAAAATTAACAAAGATTAAGTGTTGGTTCTAAAGAAAATGAGTTTGGGGAATTAGTTATGGGTGATAAACAGATGGCAGACAAATTGAACAAATATTTTTCTTCATTCTCAATAGAGAGGATACAAGTCGCATCCTGGTAATAGCTATAAATCTGGAATTTAAAGTGAGGAGGCATTCAAGAAAATTACAAATATCAAGGCAGTAGTCTTGAGTAAATTGCTGGAGTTACAAATTGCTGAGTCCTCAGGTCCTAAAGGCTTTCATCCTAGGGTCTTAAAAGAAGTAGCCGGTGAAATAGTCGATGCGTTAGTTTTCATTTTCCAAAACCTATTAGATTTGGGGAAGACTCCTTTAGATTGGAAAATAGCTGATATAACTTCTTTATTCAATAAAAGGAGGCAGAAAGCAGGAGTCAACAGGCTTTAACATGTCATAAGGAAAATGTTAGAACCTACTAATAAAGATGTTGTAACAGGGTACTTAGGTAAGTTCAAGGTAATCAGCTGGACAACATGGTTTTGTTAAAGGGAAATCATATTTAATTAATTTATTGGAGTTCTTTGAGGAAGCAACTTGTGTTATAGATCCTGGGGAATCAGTAGATGTATTGTGCTTGGATTACCAGAAGGCATTTGGTAAGGTGTCACGTTAAAGGTGATTGGAGTAAATAAAAGCTCATGGCATTAGGGGTAGCACGTTGGCCTGGACAGAAGAGTGACTTGCTAACAGGAAGCAGAAACTAGGAATAAATGGAACTTTTTCAGGTTGACACAGTATTACAAGTGAGGCTGAGGTCTGAACTCTTTACAATTTACATAAATGTATGAAGGCGGATAAATCTCCTGGTCCTGATCAGATATATCCAAGAACCCTGCAAGAGGCTAGAGAAGAAATTGTGGGGGCCCTAACTGATATATTTGCATCATTAGCCACGGGTGAGATTCCCAAAGACTGGAGGGTAGCGAGTGTTGTGCCCTTATTCAAGAAGGGATGCAAAGAAAAACCAGGGAATTACAGACCAGTAAGCTTAACATCTGTAGTAGGTAAGTTACTTGAGAAGATTCTGAGGGATAAGATATTGATTCATTTGGAAAGACAGGGTTTGATTAGGAGTAGTCAGCATGTTTTTGTGCGTGAGAGATTATGCCTCACAAATTTGTTAGAGTTCTTTGATGAAGTGACCAGGAAGGTTGATGAGGGCAGGGCGGTAGATGTAGTCTATATGGATTTCAGTAAGGCCTTTGATAAGGTTCCACATGGAAAGCTGCTCTGGAAGGTTAGATCGGATGGAATCTAGGGAGATCTGGCAAATTGTATACACAACTGGCTTGATGGTAGGAAGCAGACCATGAGAGTGGAAGGACGCAATTCGGACTGGAGGCCTGTGACTAGTGGTGTGCCTCAAGGGTCAGTGGGGCCCATTGCAGTTTGTTATCTATATCAACGATTTGGATGAGAGGACAGTGAGGAAGGTTATCAGAAATTGCAGCAGGATCTTGATCAACTGGGGAAGTGGGCCGAGAAATGGCAAATGGAGTTTAATATAGATAAATGTGAGGTGTTGCATTTTGGAAAGTCAAATCAAGGTAGGAGTTTCATGGTGAATGGTAGAGCCTTAAGGAGCGTAATGGAACAGAGGGACCTTGGAGTTCAGGTACACAATTCTCTGAAAATGGAGTCACAGGTAGACAGGGCAGTGAAGAAGGCTTTTGGCACACTGGCCTTCATCAGTCAGGGCATTGAGTACAGAAGTTGGGAAGTTATGTTGCAGTTGTACAGGAGGTTGGCGAGGCTGCCCATGGAGTATTGTGTTCAGTTTTGGTCACCTTGCTAATAGAAGGATGTTATTAAACTGGAAAGAGTCCAGAAGAAATTTACAAGGATGTTGCCAGGACTCAAGGGACTGAGTTAAGGGAGAGGTTGGACAAGCTAGGACCTTTTTCTTTAGAACGTAGGAGACTGAGGGGGGATCTTATAGAAATATATAAGATCATGAGAGACATGTATAGGGTAAATGCACTCAGTCTTTTTCCCCAGGGTGGGGGAATCGAGGACTACAGGGCATCAGTTTAAGGTAAGAGGGGAAACAATACATGGGAACCTGAGGGGTGACTCTTTTACACAGAGGGTGGCATGCATATGGAATGAACTGCCAGCAGAAGTGGTTGAGGCGGGTACATTAACAACATTTAAAAGGCATTTGGACGGACACATGGATAGAAAAGGTTTAGAAGAATATGGGCCAAGTGTAGGGAAATGGGGTTAGCATGGACGCACATTTGGATCAGCATGGACCAGTTTGGGCTGAAGGGCCTGTCTCCATGCTGTAGGTCTCTATGACTCTAAATGATTTGGATGAAGGGACCAATTATATGGCAGCTAAATTTGTTGATGACTCAAAGATAGGTGGGAAAATGAATTGTGAAGAGGACACAATGAGCCTCCAATGGGATAAATAGGTTAAATGAACATTGTGAGGATTGTGAAAGGGAGATGAGGTGTGTAGGCAAGTAATTCTCCACCTCCGAAGAATATTCTCTTATGAACACCTCTTTTTCTTGTCATCCTCTTCCTCCTCTGGATAAAGGTTAGCTATGTCATCGCAGTCCAAAAGAGCTATCAGTACCTTTACAATGTACTCTGGCAGGATTGTACACCTCATTTCCCCTCTCACCTTATTCAGGCATTAGTGATATCAACACAGCCTCAGTTTGCTAAAGATCAGCTCCTCTTCCATCTCTGAGGAACAAGACACTGTTCCCTCAGACGATGCATCGGCCAGGCTTTTTCCTGCAACCTCCAGGATTCAGAAAACAGTTAACAGGATGATGCTGGGAATGGAGTGTTTGAGTCATAAAAAGCAGTTAGATGATGATTTCACATGTTAACTGCTTCCTATTTGTTTTATAAAGTAGCTAGGTTGCCCTAAAGTGGGCCTTTTTAATAGTGTATCTCTTTTTTGCCCTATTATTACAATCACTCTGCTTGTACACTATACCAGAGGTGGGGAACCTGTGGCCTTAAGGCCACGTGCAGCCTTTTGGGGTCCTAGTTGCAGCTTTCTGCCTATTTGTCCGCAAATTCTAAATCCGCCTTTTTAAATCTGTGTACCATTTTAAAAATTTTTTACTGGTAACCCAGTCATGACAAAAACTAAAAGAACATTAAAGGAAGAGAACAGAGTATTCAATGAAGAATGGGAATTGCAGTATTATGTAGTTGCTGTGAAAATAAAAATGATGCATTTGCTCTGCAATGTCTTAATTGCAACAGTGAAGAAATACGATGCATATCAGCATTATACAACCCATAAGGACCATAAATATGCTAAACTGTAAGGAGAACCCCGAAAGCCTGCACTTAAGAAAATGAAAGATCAAAAACAGCAGCAGCAGCAACAAGTATTTAAAATGATGTCTGGGCATGGGACTGACATCACTGAAGCAACTTATACTTGGAAAAAGAGGTAAGCCATTTAGCGATGTGGAAATCATAAAAGAATGCATTGTTGAAGTTGTAGGAGGTTTAGATTCAGGTAAAGTTAATAAGTACAAACAACTACCTCTTTCAAGAAGGACCATAACTGATCAGCAACATGAATTAGCCCTCAAAGTAACGGAGCAACTTCTTACAATATGCCAAAGCGAAGACATTTATTACCCGATTGCCTTGGATGAACCCACTGACATTACGGACTCAGCGCAGGTGTTATTTTTTACTCGTGTTATAACTGCAGATTTTTATTGCCACGAGGAGTTACTGGCTTTGGGTACCCTTACAGCGAGGACAATTGAAATTGACATCTTCACTAGCTTCAAAGAAAAATGCCATGAAGCGAAACTGAATTTATGCAATTTATTAAGTGTATGCACAGACGGTGCACCTTCCGTGAGAGGAAAACCTGAGGGATTTGTTGGGTTACTACAAAAAGAATTACCAGATCCAGATACTTTGATTCCCTTTCATTGTCTTTTGCTTCAAACAAATCTCTGTGCCAAATCTACTGTGTTGAGTAACACACTAAATAAAGTTACAGGTATTGTAAACTACATTTGAGCAAATGCA